TAGAAAAGGCCCTTATGCCTGCAGACATATAGCTGTGAGAAAAGCACTGCCTTGATCTCAGTAGGTTTTTGTTTATGTTCTGAAACCTTTGAAATGTTAATGTTAGCTTCTGCTCCTAGTTGCTTAACCAGACATATCCAGCTAATATTCCCATGTCACAATGACGTATGTCATACATATGTCATAATATTTTTGTGACCCAGGGGGTGTATCTTCCTAGTCCACTTCAACAAGAATTATTTCACTTCAAAACCTACCGTCATACTGCGGAACTGATACTGAAACAACTATGGCACATGCTGATGGCAACGGTAGAGTGAACTGCAAATTGGATGTCGTGACCTTAATTAAGTAAATCTAGCTATAACAAATGGGGGAGTAGCGAGTAAAATTAAGGTACTTTCTGCTCTTAAGCTGGGCATTTCTGCCTCCTTTAGTATTGCTGCTGTTTGGAGAGTTTTCGTTTCAGCTCTGAGATATTTTTGGTTTGTCCACCTCTTTTGGACTGCTAGTTTAGGTGATGTGGTAGATAAGAGATGTGAGTGTATAGTGAGACCTAAAAGTGAAAATATTGCTTAGATATGAAAAAGATGGTTTAAGCATGGATGTCTGCTTCATTCGTGTAAACCGGTGACTCAAGCTTGTCATCTAGCAAGTCGCTTTCTCCCCTTTTCCCAAGTCTGGGAATCCTTTTGTTGCGCCACCCATGGCGTGGCTTCCTGGGGCAGCAGCTTTACTGAGGTGGAGCCTGGAGCAAATTTGGGCTAGATGTGGAAACTTCCAGGGAAGAGATAGGTGAGGAGGAGGAACAGAGAGGGCCCGTAGCTGCCGAACTCGGGGCTGCTGAGCAGCCAGGCCTGGTGTGGCCATGCCTCAGCCTTCACCCCGTCGGCGTGTTCGCACGTGCTTCCCGTCTGTGCTTCCCGTCGGAGCCATTGCTCGGCAATGATTTAGGGACAGCATTCTAAACCAACTTATTTTGGTGGTTTGCCTGTTTCTTTTTTCCTGTTTTTTTGTGAAGGCTTTTGCATGCAATCCATAATTGTGATTTTAGGTAGTATTAGTTCAGCATAGATGTCTTTTGTACATCAAACAAGCTTGCCAACGTTAAGACAATTGACAATTTTTTTTGAACTGTATAACTTCAGAGGAATTTCAGTGTTCAGATTCTTGCCCCATCATACTGATAAGTTTTGCACAAGTTTGTAAACGTAAGTTGCTCAGAGAGCACAAAATGGGATGTTCTAAGTAAGTGGATTTTTCAGTTGGCTCTATGGGTATGTGAAATGGTAACAGTAGCAAAGACACCTGCCTAGCAACAAATGAGGAGAGTTGTTTGTTTTCTTTTGGGGAAAACTGGGTGGCTTTATTTATTTTTTCTTTTCTTTTTTTCTTGGTTCTCTGGTACATGTGCGAAGTGTGCGAGAAGTTGCCAAATAGTGTTTTTACAAGAAGCCTTTTTTCTCCCTAAAGGGATAGTTTCGCTGTCTGTTAACTTGGCTTGTGGAAGCAGGATTTCACATTGCTTATTACCGTAATGTCTCCTAAGCTTGAAGCTTTACACCCACACTTGACAATAGCCAAGAGAAAATAAAATTTGATTTTTAATTTTCCCAGTAAACTTTAAGGAGTTTTGCAGTTCTGCCTTTCTCTTGAGTTCTAAGGTTCAAGGGTTCTCTTAACTTTAAATAGCACGAGAGTGCAAGTCTAGTGATGCTGGTTAATGCTCCTGAAACTACGTACATCTAGTTTCTCCTGATAGCATGTTTTTGAAATCTATACCAAGATGTTCTTTAGATGTTCTAGTTAAAATTGGAAGTGGAAAAATGGGTATGAATGCATATAAATGGTCTGTGTTTCGTTGAGCTGAGGGGATTTCTTTTTTTCCCTAAATTTTATTTTGTAATTCCCAAATTAAAGACCTTCTTACATGGATAAATTGAAGTTATGGATGTTTCTTTAGATGCTTATCTGCCTTGGATTTTGCCATTTTGAAATCATTGCTGCAATATATGTATTCTTTTCTCTCACTTTGTAGCTTTGGATTGAAGTTACTGCACTGTAACTTGGAAGATTTTCTTTCTGGATGCTGTGCATTGGGACTGTCTTATTAAGAGAATCAACTTTGTCGCATGTTTTAGCCTCATTTTGGGTTTTCAAGCTGATTTGACTTTTTTGTAATATTAGAAAAGAGACAAGATGTTACTATAAACATTAACCTAGATTTTCTTCTCTTTATAATGACAGCCGTGAATTTTAGCATAACTGCCGCTTTCACTTAAACTCTAAAGCTCCAAGGCAGAAACTGTTTGTAACAGAGAAATTGAAGGAAACGCTTTGAAATTGTTCTACTTCTTGAAAACCGAGGCTAATTCTTTAATTGCTTTGGTGCAGCCTGGCTTGGAAAGCTGTGGCCAGAAGACATTTTGTAGGAGAAAATGGGCCGACAACATCATCCCCTTCATCCTAATCCCTGCAAGCAAGGAAGCCCAATCACTCATGCTTACACCCTTAGGTATTGCGCAAGCAAACTCATCTTCTGCTTTTCTTTCTTTTTTTTTTTTTTTCCTGTAGGTCAGATTTTGACCACAGGAAGTTGCTGATCTCCCTTCTCTTTGGTACAAAACAAAGAAGCGGGGAAGGGAATGCACCTTTTCTCCCTAGTATTTGTTTCCACAATCCATTTATTGTTTTTGTTCTTATTAACTTGAAGACAGCTAGTTCAAGGTTGTTAGAGGCGGTGTACCATCATGTAGAGCTATTACGTTCTCTGCTGGGCTTGTAATTCCTGTATGTTAAAAGTCTGCCTGGTTTACTTATAGGACCTGTGAAAAGTCTTAGTGGTTTCTTTTGATTTGGTTTAATCCTAGATAGACAGAGATGGGAGGAGAGGGGCACATGCCATGATCTGTTTGCACCAAGACTGTAAAGCAGGGTTGTGTTGCGACCTTTGGATGGCTGACTATTCCTTCTTCCCCCATCCAAAGTAAATTACAGCTGAAGGGACAGCCTGGGCTGAAAGGAGAATAAAAGTTGGGTTTGGGTGATCTGACTCAAGCCTTTTAGTGGGTTTACATGAAACTTTTGAACCGTGAATTGTAAAGATGCATATCACTAATTTTTGCTAGCAGCCAGCCAGGCTGGACAGCCAAGAGAGTTACATTGTTCAAAGCATATTGGCCAGAGCCCTTTGGCATGTCCTAAAACATGGACCATAAGTTTGGGAGGACTGTTCAAATTTACATTTAAATTTTTGTAGGCATTTGTTCAATGCTGGTGATTTCTAGGTACTCTACTTTCCCCATTTAAAACCTATTGTAGTAATAGTGTTGCCAGCCATGTGTGAACTATGATATGATGTGGGACTAGTTTAGCCATCTTGAAACACATTATCTGAACTTCAAAATGAAACTGCTGCATTTGCAAAATAGCTTGCCAGTAGTTCAGAGGCTGCTCGGACTGCAAAGGAGGCAGTTGCAGAATGTGCCCCCAAGATATCGGAACTGTTGGTTGGGTCAGTCGTTTCCTTGAAGCTCCAGAGATGTAAGGTAGCTTCTTTTGCTGTTATGTGCTCTGAGTAAAATACAAGCGGCACCTGGAAGTAGCTTTCTAGACAGTTTGGCCAAAATCTTTCTTGCACTGTAACTGAGCAAAATATTAAGCAGCACTGTGAGAAACTGTCCTACAGTGCATCTTTTGGAATATCTTACATACACTGTAAAATCTACATTAACTTACTGAGGTTTTTAGTTTATGGCATCAGATGCTTTTCACTTTATTTCCATAATAGTTTCCAGTATATTTTTGAGATAAATATTTTTAAAGATTAAAGCCTGTATTTGATTTTTTTTTTTTGTAGAAACCATTATTTTTCTGTAGAATGAATGACTTCCTTCACTGCAGCTGTGTTGTATGTTGAAATTCTTGTGTGAGGAACTCCAGCATACTGACAAAAATACTGCTTGAAAGTAGCTGATTTGCCATTCAGACAACCCTTTTTTGGTGAGCTAGAACTAATGACTGTACAACTATGAAGTGATTCCAGGGCTCTTGAAGTGCTTCTGACTTTACAGTGATGATTACAGTTGCATTTTACTTCACACAGTGAATGGCTTATGTGCTATATTTTAAGAGGATAGGAGTCACTGTTTCCAAAATTTCAGGGAGAAGGACAGCTGACCCAGCTATTCTTGACTGGAGTTTTGGAGAGAGAATACACAATGCACTGTAGTTGCGTTGAAGTCAAGGTCAGATGGATGTGCCCTCTATCAGGAGACGTTTAGATTTCCGTTTAACTATTATCCAAGCGTAAGAATGGGAGACTTCGGGAATTATGTTGCTGTCTGTATCCGAATGCTTAGCTTTATGCTAGCTATTAAATAATGCTTTTTCATCATTCATAGTAAAACTTAGTAACTGAAGAAAGACGAGAATCGGGGCAGGGCTTGATTAATGTAGAGTTTGGTGAAACTCTGGTTCCTGTGAGGCAAGAAAAGATGATCTGTGTTGGCGCGGCAGCAGGTTCAGCTTTGTCCTCTGAGTGGTGTGTCCATATACTCACTCCACGCTTACATTCTACTGCTGTAGCAACAACTTACGCTTTCCATGAAGTTGAGCGCTTTGCCTTCTACACAGATAGCGTATCACATGGGTAGAGTTTCATAATCCCTCCAACATGGCAGTGTCCAGTGTTTGAACACTCCTTGGGCTAATACCCATCACAACAGCCCTTATTTGTTTATCCACTCCCAGTCTTCCTCCACCCCATCGAACCTATCTAACCTGTTACTGACATGTGTGCAGTGCAGAGCAATGAGAGAGAGGAGCTACCTCAGTGTCTCAAGGAACAAGTGCCTCCCTTGTCTCTGAACACGTTGCCTGCTCCTGTACATTATCAAAGTACTCTGAAATTTCAAGTAGGCTAGGCTTCTACTTGAAGCTTGCAAGTGCTCGTCTAGGTCTTATGGTAGGTTTAGGACTTGAATGGTGATGTCTACATAGCTCTTAAAATGGTTGTAGTTGATGGGATGTGTGGTTTAAAAAAGAAGTGGGAAATGTAAGTTTTGGTGAAAATTATAATAGTAAAATGCTAGCTTCAGATCATCTCATGAAGTAAAGAATCTTGCTTAAGTCATGATACCAGAACAGATTTTGTACGTTATCTAAGTTATAGAAGCTGTTTTCTAATACAATCTTCTTTTGTATTTTTCTCTTTATAGCTAAACCAGGTGGACGGGTGAAATGTCAGTATATTTCTGCTGTGGATAAAGTGATCTTTGTGGATGATTATGCAGTAGGATGTAGGAAAGATCTCAATGGGATCTTATTGTTAGACACAGCTCTTCAAACACCTGTTTCAAAACAAGATGACGTGGTTCAGCTTGAATTGCCGGTTACAGAGGTAAGATGGGCAAAATAGTAGTATGTAAATCACTTGGTCAGGAATAAAAAAACAAAATTTTGTCCCTGAGTTTCTAGTGCGATATTAACAGCGTGTAATGGGAAAGTCTCCTAATTAAGTGTCATAAGGCAGTGACTTTTTGCAGTTACCCTTTTCCCAGACAAAGGCGACCTTGCCTCATCAGGAGACCATTATTTCAGAAGAGAGAATGTGGCAGCGACTAGAAGTGAGAGCTCTGTTCCAGGGCTTTGAATTCTCTATGCTATTCTGGATGTCACAGTTTGGACTAGTAGGCTTCCTTGGATGACTTTTTTTTTTTTTTTTGATTTAGGCTTTCATGGGGGAAAAAATGTCAATTGAAAAGATCATGAGATATGCTGATCAGTTAATTGCAACATATGAAGAGCTCATGCTGGAATTTTAACTTTTCTAACTAGGTCACCTGACTTAATAAAAGAAATTTTCTTTCCAGACTTGGCTTCTCTTTTATACTTGGACCATCAAAGCTACAAGAATGTCCTTCTGGTTGTTTTGAAAAAATATAACCACATGTTTAGTATCTTTATACTTTAAAAGAATCTAATTTTTATATATTTTTACCTAGCCTTATGTGAAGGACTTTCTTGAATTGGTTTATATTCAGTTAGTTTAGCAATTAATAGCTTAGAGTGTAGCTTAATATTAGTGAAATTTTCTTCTATTCTATGACCGTAGGTAATGAGGAGGATACCTTTCGTCTTTCATCTTTTTAGCAATAATGAAGTAGTAGAGGAGGGAAGTAAATCTGCATGACAACTTTAACCACAAGCTAGTTTATTTTAATTCTTTATGTTTGGAAAGAGCATCTGTCAATGTAAATATTTAGAGTAGTGTGTACAGTGGAAAATACAAAACCGGACTACTAGATCCAGATTCTGGATCGTTAAAGCTCTCTTTGAGAAGAGCACCTCCCACTCATCTCTGGGAATAGATGTATATTAAAAGGTACATCATCGACAAAAATGTCTCCTGAGAAATTATTTGAAGCATTTGTATGATATTAGAGTACTGAATCATAGGTGCCTATTGTGTACCCAAGAATGTGTTATGTGGCTTCTTTTTCTTTCTTCTTTTTTTTTTCTTTTTTTTTTCTTTTTATAACTCCTTGTCTTGAGTAGGAGTAGCAGCAACTCATAGAGATCTCTGAAGAGAGCTTTCTAGGTTCCTCAGGCTTACTGTCACTGACATTATTTTTACTGCTTTTGCTGCCTTTTGGCAGCACAATCTTAGTATGTGTAGCTAAATATGAAGAGACTGACCAAGCTCAGCAAATTCCTTTCATAAGTTTTGCTGTCTTTTTTTTTGTGTGTGTCAATTTTATTATAGATTCTTATGTATTTCAAAAAAACATTGTTAGACTCTGTTAGACTCTGTTAAACTGTTATTCAAAGTTTAAGATCGCTGCCATTTTCTATAGAGGTCATTTCTTTAGAAATTGGAAAATATTATTATAGTTCAATTAAAAACAGATTTGAGGAGTTCAGGGCCAAATCAGTGAGGTGAGAGAAAAAACATTAACAATCTTAAGTTCTCACCTTTGCTGTTAAAGAGGAGGTGCCCAGTCTTTCACCCTCTAGAACCTGATCAAACTGTGAACATGCAGAGCCCTTCTGTTGATCTGCTGTTGCCTGCAAGAAACTTAGGAAGTACGAGATGTCATAGGAATTTTTATTGTCCTTTTATTGAAATGTAAAACCCAGATACAGCCCAAGCAAGTAACTCTTTTGACTTGCTTCTGGCTTTCCTCTTTTGTCTGTTCCTCCTCTTCCCATGCCCTTGTTCCCCCCCATTCCCCCCCAACAAAAAAAAAAAAAAAAAGGAGCCCCTGTGCATGTGATGGTAGCTGGCTAAAAGTGGTCGTTCAGTCATTCTGTTTGGAATGGTGCCTGGCTGCTTAAAGTAGAGGCTGGCAGTTGCCCTAGGGAAAGTATTTCTCTTTACTTGGAACTTGAAAGATTTTATGTAATGTTTTTCAGATGTAGCCTGTTTAACAACTGCTGCATAATGCTCTGTACTTCGTAAATAAAACATACTTTAAAATCTTAACTGCAAACAAGAAGTTAACAGATAGTGGGGTAAATCAGAAACAGGTGGGACTTGGCAGAAAAAAAAGAGTCTATAAATGGATGTTTATAGTGTCTTTTCTAGATGCATTATGTATGAGTTGTAAGAATTCTCTAGGTTAACTAGCCCATTTTTTTCTGCCTCATTTTTTCAACTTCAGTAACTATACTATCATTGTAAACAGTGTGATTTGTATTATTTATTATTTTCTTCTTTACATTTTTTTTTCTCAATACTGCTTAGAAAAATGTCGAGAACTGTGGGCTTTGTTCTTGCTCTCACTTCTGTCCCTGAAGCTGAATGAATCCTTTTGAAGGGCACTGGGTTGTAGATGTTCCTTTTTGTTTGGCTTTAATATGTCTAATGTTTTGAGTGTTTATATTGCTAACTTGGTCAACATTTGATAATGTTTTACCTGAGGAAATTTGTAATAAATTCGGTAATTATCACAGTGGTTTATGTATTGAATAGATGACAAAGCTATGTTTTGAACTGCTTGCTGTTTTTTTTTTTTTTCATTTTAATGGGAATTATGCTAATATATGATAAGTTAGGATAGGCCAAAATAGATTTCTCAGAATAATAAAACGATTATAATTTTTGTGTATAGCTACCTAGCCTGGATGATAACTGTTCTTGCACCTCTGTATTTCAGGCTCAGCAGCTGCTATCTGCTTGTGTAGAAAAAGTAGATGTTTCTAGCACAGAGGGATATGACTTATTCATCACACAACTGAAGGATGGTTTAAAAAATACCTCACATGAAACAGCAGCAAATCATAAAGTTGCTAAGGTAAGAGTTTGCCTCCATGCTATGTATGTGGATTCCCAAGTCTGGTTTTGTTTGGCCGCCTTTGTGGAAGCAGGCAAAATGCTTGGTGCAGTGTGATGGATTTCATTTGTAGAGAAAAAAAGGTAATTTGTGATTCTTGGTTCTTGTTTTGCTTGTTAAGCAAGAAACTAACAGGGTCCTCTGCTTAAAGTTTGATGTATTCTTAAATTGCTTCAGATCTAGAGAGGGTGCAACATGGATGTATTTGTTTTGCTTTTGACACCTTTGTGAGCTATTTGTAGTTTATATGTTACGATTTTACAATATAAACTGGACACTTTTTTTTTTTTCCTCTTAATTTAGTGGGCAACGGTTACGTTCCACCTTCCTCATCATGTTTTGAAGTCTGTCGCCAGTGCCATTGTAAATGAACTCAAGAAGATAAATCAAAATATTGCTGCCTTACCTGTAGCATCCTCTGTGATGGATAGGTTATCTTACCTCTTACCCAGCGCACGACCTGAACTTGGTGTGGGACCTGGTCGATCCGTGGACAGGTATATTAAGACAAAGTGATGCATGTGACTCCTTAGGTGGATGAGAGTAAGCTCTTACATGACTAATTTCTTTGCAAGAAGAAAATGGAATTAGCCTCATTCTGTATTTTCCTTGTTCTTACTTGTACAGCTAGTTGAACTGGTTAGTGCACAACGTACTTTAAATATTAGTAAATTTAAGAAACATCTATGGTTGCCCAAAGACTGCCATGTCAGTAGCTTGACTTTAGTGCCAGTCAGGTCGAATCCCTTTGTTCTTACTCTGAGGCCGCCTTTCTGAAAGGTAACAGTTGCAGCTTACAGCTGCATTTCTAGCTTGCATTTCAACAGGGGAATGTGCTGTTCACCCAGGCTTTACTCTTCATAATGTGAGGTTCTGGTTGTATTTCAGCAGTCCCTGGGAAATGACTAGCTCTGGTCCAGAGTTGCTAGCAGTATTCAAGCTGGTTTTGTAAACCTTACTGAAAGTGTAATACTTAAATGTTCAGCAGTGGCAGAGCTTTAAGTACTCCTTCAGACTGCTTTTGACTGCAAAGCAATCAGTTCCCTGTTCTTCATAGTAGAGTTATGTTCATGCTTTATCTTTTAGAGGACACAGTTTATGAAGTTGTGCAGCATATAAATATGTCTCCTGAATCATGTGCTGTGTTTGGGATGAGAAAATTTTACTTCTTTGGCTATTGTTTGGTTTTTCTGATCTGAGTAGTGATTTGTAACTAGGCAAGTTTAACCTGTTACCTAAACAGTCGTAAGACTAGCTAAAACACTAATAAATATTCTAAGTCTATAAATTCTCTCTTGAAAATTTGTGTGTGACTACTATTTTGCAAGACTATTAACATTTCTTACAGCTCAAATAATTTAATAAAACATATCATGTCTCCATACCTCCAGGTATGGAAACTTATTTTGCTTATTCTTGTTGCTTCTAAAGCTTGCAGGTTGTTGCATTGTTTGTGGTCTTTTGTTGAGGTTATGTTATTGGCAACCAAGTGAGAGAACTTTAATTTTCTGAAATTTATATATATACATATACATATATATAAATATATATAATACAATTTAATATGTTCTACTATATAATAGGAATTATATATAATTTCTATAATTTTTAAGGTTAACTTGCATTTGAAATTATAGGCAACTATCTGCTTTTTTTTTCCTAATAGCCAATAAATTGATACATTTTAATATGTTCTACTATATAATAGGAATTATATATAATTTCTATAATTTTTAAGGTTAACTTGCATTTGAAATTATAGGCAACTATCTGCTTTTTTTTTCCTAATAGCCAATAAATTGTGAAAAAAAAAAATCTCAAGTAGATTTTTTTTTAATTTGATGTGGCAGCTTTGGATAAATGTTTCTTTTTTTTTCTTTTCTTTTTTTTTAATTTTGCTTTTCTAGGTCTTTGATGTATAGTGAAGCTAACAGACGGGAGACATTCACCTCATGGCCTCACGTGGGTTATAGGTGGGCACAGCCAGATCCTATGGCTCAGGCTGGGTTCTATCACCAGGTAAGAGGTTTAGTTTGTCAACATTTGCTTCCTTGGCAAAGACTTAAAAAACAAATGATCAGACAAATGAACAACCTAATGTACTCTCTACAGATGTAGAAGCTGAAGTGAACAATGAAGTCTGTCACTGAAGGCTTTTTTTCTGAATTTAGTGTGTGTGTGTTTTTGCTGTTTTTGGATTTTTTTTTTTCTTCTTCTGTTTCTATCCTGTTTTTTGGAGAAAATGTGGTGAGATGAAACACCTGGGTATGAAAATTGAGCTGCCTTAAAGAGCAACAACAAAAAAATGTGAACTGTGTTACGCAGCATCTCTTTTTCTCTTCATTAGATTGTTGAGCAAATATCCTTATTTTTATGCAGGTTTTCTCCAAGTAAAGCAGAAAAAGCACCAAGTCTGATGTCAGTGTTCAACTGTAATTTCATAGTGAGACTTAAAAAAACTGTTGTGTTACAGACAACAGACCTAGTTTATATTACAAAATTATTTGGCTTAATGACTTACACAGCCTCAACTTTTTTCTCCAATATTCTTCCTGTTTCCATTTTTCTTTTTTCTTTTTACTTTTTTTTTTTTGTTGTTGTTACATGGATTTATATAATGAAGGCTAGGTAGTATATCTATTATTTGATGTCAGTGTTATGTGCCTAATGGAGTCAACTGCAAAGCTTGCTAGGTGATGGTGGATCATGCTTTTGGAAGATTTCTCAGGTGTTCTTGAAAACTGCTTGTTCAGGAGGAAACGAAGGAAATTATGTTAGAATTGAATCTGCATATTTTCAAGTACATTTCATTGACTTGAAAGGTGATAATGAAACTGCCAAGTTTAAAGAGAAGTGGAAAATTCCATTCTTTTCCTAGGAACAAGTGTTTTTTGCAGAGGAGTGAAATGATGTGCACTACTTTATATTCTGACACATCGAAGGTGTAGTAGGAAATGCTTGTTCAACTTGTGTTTTTACCAGCATTCAGATGTACTGATAAATTCTGCTAAGGATGTACATTTTTAGAACATTATGGGCCTGTTCCAGAGAAAAAGTCTTTGTAGTGATGTTGTTCACTGGAGTTCTGCTCTATTTGTATGTCTTTTCTATCCAGTGTTTGGCACAGGTTCTCTGGATTCTGGATCCCTTCTGTAGTAAGAATGGTGTATCTATTTCTTATGTAAAATATTGCCACTTTTGAGTCAGTAATTTAGGGTGGTGTATACGTGTGATGTAGTGTCTTGCAGTGCCACTAGAAGAAGCAAAGGACTTGATTGGCTGGTTAATATGCCTTGTATTCTATACTATATAAATTTTAAGTGTTTCTTCTTATTTTGTAGCCTGCTTCATCAGGAGATGATAGAGCTATGTGCTTTACCTGTAGTGTGTGTTTGGTATGCTGGGAGCCTACAGATGAACCATGGTAAGTTTGTATTCAGGATAGACTTAGTTTTATGCTATGAGATTAGAAAACTTGAAGGACAAAGGTCAACATCTCTGACCAGGATTTATGTGAGTTTCAGTTGTCATGACAAGAGTGGATTTCAAAAATTATTCCATAGGGCAAATGGCAAAATGATGTGGATGTCTAATGAAAGACTAGAAACCATTTTATTTTATTAACACTACTTTCTCGTAACATCGAAATTCTTCTAAAGTATGTTCTGCAGAGCTCATCTGCTTGCTTTGCTTGCTTTTCTTCAGAAGGACATGATGGTCTACTGCCTATAGAACAATTTTTTTATCACAAACTACTATCTGAAGAGCACTGTGTCACTCCTTCTGTATGACTGAACTTTCATTAAATGGTCACATGCATACAAATTGTATGGTCCATACAAATGGTTTAGTATAGTCTACTATTGAGAAATAGCTGTGGAAATAGACTTAATAGCTCACCACTCCCTTGTATGGTTGACTAAAGTTCATGCAGTTTGGTTTCAGTTTCATTTCAAGCTCTGACTTTGTGTATGATTATGTGTACTCTTCAAAGTAAGAAATCAATGTGTGACATGTTTGTTTTTAATATGGAAAGGTCTGAACACGAGAGACATTCCCCAAACTGCCCTTTTGTCAAGGGTGAGCACACTCAGAATGTACCTCTTTCAGTCACACTGGCAACAAGTCCAGCACAATTTCCCTGCACAGATGGCACTGACAGAATAGCCTGCTTTGGATCTGGAAGTTGCCCTCATTTCCTAGCTGCTGCAACAAAACGAGGAAAGATCTGCATATGGGATGTTTCCAAACTTATGAAGGTATACAATACATGTAATCATTTCTTCTTTAACTAACTACTTCTGATGAGGCATATCTCAATTTAAATCAAAGGTCATTTCTGTCTTTTTTTGTATTTTTTTTTTTAGGTCCACTTAAAATTTGAGATAAATGCGTATGACCCAGTTATTGTGCAGCAGCTTATGTTATCAGGAGAACAGAGCTCAGGGGTTGACTCAAGGAGACCAACACTAGCATGGCTAGAAGATTCATCTAGCTGCTCAGATATACCAAAATTAGAAGGAGACAGGTATGCTAATCTTCAACATCAGAAAATGTACAATGTTGCTGTGTAGGTGGTAAATGCCATTTAGTTAAGTCATGCTTTGTGGATGTAAGAATGTTAATATTATACTTTTCATGGAGATGAGAGAGATTTTCTTAAATGTTGAATCGTGTTCAGAAACATAGGGATAAAAAGGTTGCGTAAGTTACCCTTAAAGCCAGCTGAATTTTACTCATTGTGCTTCAGTCTTTATCCTCCAGTAATGGAGAAGAGACCAAATCACATTGCTGAAAAAAATAGTGAGGAGTACCAGTTTGGGAACCGCATTTCATTTTAGCTATGGGTTATGCATTTTAGGCATTGAAAGTATAGGCTACTGGAAATAAAGTATGTGAATGTGCTAGGAATTTTTATTTATTTGTGTCTTCAGCTCATGCATATGGGTGTTAAACCACTAGACAGTCCTATCACAAACTTTTTAAGTGGTATGCTGATGCTAAAGAAGTGTCATGTGAGAACATGTGTTATTGATAGAAATGTGTATACACGTAGAATCAATATTCTTTCACATTTATGTTTGTTACAATGCATTATTGGCAACTCCTTCCTCATTTCACCAAAACTCACCCAGATGAGCAAGTAATTGCTGGAAAGCTCAGGGAAGAAAGAATAGTGCTAGAAAGCTCAGGAGAAAAAGCTTGAGAAGTCTTGTTAGTTTTCCCAATGTTTCTTCTTCCTTCTTTTAACTTAACATCACAGAAGGTCACAGTTCTGCTACCTGCACAGTTAGCAGGTTGTTTCTGAGCTTGCTGTGGTTCCTACAGAACTGTAGAGCACATAAGAAATTCTTTTCCTACCCACTCTTCAAAACAGTGAGACAAATCTGCGCGTAGGGCCTATCTGCTGCTTGATGCCTAGACCCCTGGTGTAGCTTTAGCCACTTGAGAGTTATGTACAGTGGTACTGCTCAGGACTAAGTATCTTCTGTTTCATTTTATCTATATTAAATTTGTTATCTCTGTAATTAAAAACGATACTGAAGTACTGAAGTCTCAAGGGAAAGTTGGATGAGAGGAGAAGTATTGAAATGCCACTCTGCTGTAGTGAAATGAAGATTGATAAGTTTTGATCCTTTTTAGAGAGGAGCTCAGAGGAAGTCCAGATATATTCAGGTACTTTGAGCCGAGGAATGATTGCTCATAAAACAGCTGTTGGTAGCATCTGCCTTATGGAAGGAAGATACTATAGATGATCAGACCAGGGCTACCCTCAGCTCTTTCCACACTCGTTATAAAATTGCTTCGATAGGATTTAAGACCATTCTAGCACTTCTACCCTCCAGAGAATGTTTTGACACGCTTTGTAGAAGAAGACATCAACTTTTAAACAGAATGTTTTTTTGATTGTTGTTTTACTTTGTTTGTTTGTTTTGAAAGTGCTGAGAACTGGCTTTTGTTCTCATTCAGTTTATGTCTGAGCTGCTAAGAATAGGGGTAACGGAAAGCTGGTTTTCTTGCTTTAGTGACCAATGGGAAGAAAATACTATTCTGTAATCAGCTGACCAGTGGGTGTGCAATGCTGACCAAAAGAGATGCTGGTGTCACAGTCCACGATTTATTTTTTAATAAATGAAAATTACAAATTTATTTAATAAAAAGGTACCTGGTCTCACTTATGCATTTTTTTCAGTGATGATCTATTGGAGGATTCAGACAGTGAGGAGCATTCCAGATCAGAATCTGTGACAGGTAGGTTATATCTGATCCTTATCATTGTATGGATCAGGAGGGAAGTTGTTCATCTCAGGCTCTTTAAAAGGCTCCACCAGAAACAAAACATTATATTTATTGTATTGGAAACAAAATTTTGACTTGGAAAGTCTACCTTCTACTAGTTATGTCATTGTTTGGTGGAAATTAGGTACAGAGCAGGGGAAAAACAAACAAACAAAAACTACTTCATTGGTTAAAAAACATCTTATTTGACAATTGGCATTGGTTATCTTGCTGTCAGTAAAATGTACAAATCAAGTCATAGAAATTTACTTAGGACAGGAACAAATTGCAGCTATGCAAAATACTTTAAATTCAAGAGACTGACAGAGTTTCTGAATCTTGATTGTTTTCTTGTTTATATATACACTGTCGATATATATTTTTTTTCCTGAGCAAAGCTTTCATATGGAGCAGAACAGTGCTGTGCATGGTGTAAGGGATTGATTTCTTAGAGGCATAGACAGAAATCATATCAAAAGAGATTGCTTACTCTGCATAACCTAATTTACACATTTGAATGAGGATTAGCAAGAAGAAAGGTATAGAACATGTGAATATGCAGAAGGGAATAGACCTGAGATGTGAAAAATATTTTTTTCGATATAAATTATTGCAGAGATAGTGCTCTGTCATGTATGCTTCCATCTGCTCTTATCCATGCCCTTTGTAATGAATTAAATGAAAATAAAATGTTACTTAGCTGAACTTTTCTGATTCTTTTTTTTACTGCAGTATTGTTCAGTATGACCAAGCGTCTCTTCAGGGTTTATTGTGTTGTATTTCACTGTAGCTTGGAGCTCTTTATATTATATGATGGGAACTGTCAAGTTCCAGTGTAAAACAATGTTTTTCAGTTAGGAGTGAAGAATGAATCTGCAGTGCTACAGAATCTTGGTGGTACTGGGCTGTTTAGAAGGGGGAATGATACAGGGCAGAGTATGAATCCAGATGATTAGGTCGGTTGTGTTCTGGTATGGTAAGCTAGCTCAAGTGGAATAACTGTTGGGAAGATAAGATTGTTTACTGGGAGACCTGATGCAAAGGTTAATGTCCTGTTTTCTTTACTTTCCCTCTTGCTGATAAAATGGAGGGAACCATTAGCCAGTGTGGAAGGAATGTTTCTAAGCCTTTTGTTTTGCGACTGTTGGATCCCGAACATATGGAATGTTTTAACATAACGAATCTGCACAGCAGTGACTTATTGCTTGGTTATGAAAACAAGTCCATAACATAAGTAACTTGATTCCTTTTCTGTACATATATTATGTTAACCTTTTTTTTTGTTTTCAAAGGGCATACCTCGCAAAAGGAAACTATGGAAGTCAGCCTTGATATAACAGCTCTCAGCATTCTTCAGCAGCCTGAGAAACTTCAATGGGAAATTGTGGCAAATGTCCTGGAAGACACGGTTAAAGATTTGGAAGAACTTGGGGCAAATCCATGTTTGGCCAACTGTAAGAGTGAAAAGATGAAGGAAAAACATCTAGAACAACACAACATTCCCTTTCCTTGTTTATTAGCTGGGGGTCTATTAACATACAAATCACCCGCTACCTCTCCTGTTAGCAGTAACTCTCAGAGGTCTCTGGATGACTTAAGCAGGACTCGAGGTGAGAGTGTCTCGGAGCAGGGATCTACTGACAATGAATCCTGCACTAATTCAGAACTGAATTCGCCTCTGGTACGGAGGACTTTACCTGTTTTGCTGCTATACAGCATTAAGGAGTCTGATGAAAAAGCAGGAAAACTCTTTTCACAAATGAACAATATTGTGAGTAAAAGTATCCATGATGATGGTTTCACCGTTCCACAGATCATTGAGATGGAGCTGGACAGTCAGGAGCAGCTGCTGTTGCAGGATCCCCCTGTGACTTACATCCAGCAGTTTGCAGATGCAGCAGCCAACCTAACTTCTCCGGACTCGGACAAGTGGAGCTCTATGGTTCCCAAACCTGGGACTTTGGTTCAGTGCCTGCGTCTGCCAAAGTTTGCAGAGGAGGAGAACCTGTGTGTAGACTCGATCACTCCTTGTGCAGATGGAGTTCATTTGTTAGTAGGACTGCGGACTTGCCCTGTTGAATCTCTGAGTGCAATAAATCAAGTAGAGGCCTTGAATAATTTAAATAAATTAAACTCGGCACTATGTAGTAGAAGAAAAGGTGAACTAGAATCAAGTCTTGCTGTGGTGAATGGCACGAGTATCGATGTCATCCAGCACGAGTCACCAGCCGACGTACCAACTCCTTTGATAATTCAGCCTGAGCAGAGAAGTGTTAGTGGTGGATACCTCGTGCTTTATAAGATGAATTATGCCACTAGAATAGTTACCCTGGAGGAGGAACCAGTAAAAATCCAGCATATCAAAGACCCCCAAGACACAATTACCTCAATGATTTTGCTCCCACCAGATATATTGGATAATCGAGAGGATGACTGTGAGGAGCCTGTGGAGGAACTGCAATTGACTTCTAAAAATGGCAGTGGGAGAGAGAGAAGATCGGAGATCTCTACTCTTGGGCACCTGGTAATAACTACTCAGGGAGGATATGTAAAAATACTAGATCTTTCAAACTTTGAAATTCTGGCCAAAGTGGAGCCACCTAAAAAAGAGGGCACTGAGGAACCAGATATGTTTGTCTCTGTGATATATTGTTCGGGCACAGACAGATTATGTGCATGCACCAAAGGTAAGATTTTTCCTTACAAAAACTTCAAAAAGACTTCATTTGACTGTATTTAACTTAGAATGTAGAATGTTAACAGAAGTTTCAAAATAGTAATGGACAAATTCCATCGGGTTTATATATACAGTTTAGTTCTGTTCTAGAGAATGTGGGCTCTAGTTAATTTCTCATCTAAAATGTGATTTTAATCTCTGAAATAGGAATGGCTCTTGGGTGTGTGCAGTATATTGGTAAATTGTCTTGGTAGTTTTACAGAACTGCTTAAGCCCTAAACAAATAAAAGTAATTCTTGTATGTAAATATTCCTGTAGTGGATATCTGTGCTCCAGAGTAATGCTTCCTGTATGGATAGGGAATTATTCAAGAGGACAGGGAAGAAAATGCTTTTATATCTTATTCCAGTGATAAGTTACAGAATTTGGGCGTCACATCAGTGCAGAGGTTACGGCTCTGACTGCTTTCCAGATCCGAATTCCTTAATGAGCCAAAGTCTTAACAGTGCAAGTTTCCTGCACTGTATTGCAGCTGTGCTGGAAATGGTCTCTGTGAAGCTAAGCTGATGGGCTGGTTCACACAGTTCAGACGACTCCCACCAATACCACGTTGAACTCCACTAGCTTTTCTCTCAGTTTACCAGAAGAATTTTAAATGACACATTTCTTCATTCATGGTCACGTCATGTTAATAGTCTCACACAGTTAATAGCTCACATAATTCTCCTGTGAGCAGCTGTTATGCTTGCATGAGACTTGTTTTATTTCCCACAAATAAGGTTTAGCTTTTTTTTTTTTTTTTTTTTAATAAAACAAGACAGACATGTCTCTTAGGGACTTTGCCTTTATCACTTACCTACCATGAGTTTTAGCAGCAGATTTTTAATATTTATTTTTTTAATATAGGTGAAAATGCTGAGCCTTAATAGCTAGTGTTGATATTTGCAAATTCCTAATATAAACATCCAGATTTACTAAATTGTTCTGTGTTTTGAGAACTACTTTTGAAGGAAAGTCAAAAGTTAAAAAAATTAAACTGTTTCTGCTTTATTTAATAATGCATTTTTTCATATTTAAAATGGAACTGTCTTTTGTGTTATACTATGAGGTTAAATGTCTGTGAAAACTGTTTATATATCACATCTTTGCCATTAAGTTTTTACCTTTCCTGATTGAACTTCTATTGCTAAGAATTCTATCCATACAAGCCTACTATTCCCTGTATGTTATATCATATCTGTTCTGGTTTTCTTGGGTGTGTAGTCTGGTTTGAAATTAATGACAAGGTAAAAGGCTTTTCATTGTTGTGCATGGTAATTTCCCATTCAGTATTAGCATACCTAATTATGTTTTTGTACGGTTTGGTGTTATCTAAACCTGGTTTTAGGACCTTGAGTGTTGTTATTGAGGTCGTTGGACTTGGGAGCGTTTATTCTGTGAGTGTGAGTACTTGTGCCTACTTCCTAGATACCTAGTAGCCTACCACCTCTGCTACTGGCTGTTACTTTTTCTTCCCCAGAGTAGACAAACAGATTGTTCTGCTTTTTCCAGTAAATCACTGTGTTTTTTTTTTTTTTTTTTTTTTTTCCCTCCTCTCTGACAGTGTTATATCTGTTTAGTAATTTCTAAATAACTTTGCTATGACTACTTTTGTTCTTATTGCATTTAAGATGTCTGGGATTTTATTTTTCCTCAGTAAGCCACAAGCATCTCTCAGCCCTCAGCTTTCCCATGTCAATGTACTACTATGACAACTCTTCATTTTGCGCTTCTTGACTACTCTTTTACTTATATCCACCATATCTCTGTTCAGAACTTTTTTCTTGTTCTGCGATGTAACTTGAATGAACTTCAAAATCAGTTATTTTCAGTATTTAAATACCTTTAGCTTTCAATTTCTAATCTTTTCTAACAGCTTTTCAGTCAGTTCTGTTGGGTATTTTTTTCTCACTCTCGAAAGAAGTCTAAAACAGTCATAAATATTCAGGGACCAACCTCTAACAGAAGTCTGGATTTCAGGAACTGACACTAGATAAATCTGAAGGCTGGAGTGCATAAGGCTCTTTTATGCCAGAATTTGACTCACTCAGCCGTTGGGGTTGGGAGGTACCTCTGGAGATCATCTAGTGCAACCTTCTGCTCAGGCAGGGTCACCATCTCCCAATTGAGATACTGCTTTTGAGCATCTTGAGGATGGTGACTGTGAAACCTGTTCCAGTGCCCTGTCACCCTTAAACTCTTTTTAAAAAAAAAAAAAAAAAAAATCCTTCTGTTCAGGCGGACCTGCCTGTGTTTCAGTTTGTGCCCATTGCCTCTTGTCCTGTCGCTGTGCTGAGAAGAGTCTGGTCCCATCCTCTTTACGGCCAGCCTTCAGATATTTATGCATGTTGGTAAGCTTTCCCCTCAGCCTTATCTTCCCAAGCTCCAGTCCCTTAATCATCTTCGTAGCCCTTTGCTGGACTTGATGCAGGAGTTGGGTGTCTCCCCTGTTTAGGGAAGCCCAGAACTGGACACAGCACTCCATATGTGGCCTCATCAGGGCTTGGGAGGGGGAACCATCGCCTCCTTGGACCCACTGGCAGTGCCCTTCCAAATGCTGCCCTGGATACCTTTTGCCTTCCTGGCCACAAGCGCACGTTGATGGCTCGTGGTCAACTTGTAGTCTACCAAGACCCGTAGATTGTTGTCTGCAGAGCTGAAGCTTTTTCAAAAATGACTCTTGTTTATAAATTACTGCACGGCCTAAAATTTCAGGAATAGTAGAGGGAAAAGATCCTGCAAAACCTTGATTTATATCATGGCAACTTCTTTTTTTTAATCCTGTAACTTACTGTGGATATGACTATCTTGGTACAAAGAAGAGATATTCAGTAGTTTTTGCTAACTGTTAAAAATCCTTTAAATGTCCTACTGTAAGTGGGTTAAATTGTTTGCTCATCTGCCAAGTGGCTGGAGTTTTTAATATAGGTTTCTGGGGCTTCATTCAAAATCGGAGTTTGTGGTGCTTGCTCCTCTCTATTTACTACCTTGTATGGGAGGATGCCTGCAGTCTGGCTGGGTTAGGAAGTTGAACTTTGCAGAGGAAGCATGTTGGAATTAGAATGACTACATTAACTGAAATATTAAGTGCTAATCATTCTAGCAAGTAGTAGCAGTCACATAAGTGAAAATACATGAAAATAAGAATTTAGGCTCCTGTAGGTCCTGGATATGCTTCTTTCTGTTTCTGCTTTGACCTGCCATTTTTATTGGTAGATTATATATTTTTTCCTATACCTACCCTTAAGGTATAGCTGAAAAAAGTACTCTGTGAATGGTGGGGTTTTTTATATTTTGGCGGAGGGGGGAGGTGGTGGTGGGATGTTCTTTTTAGAGGATGAGAGGCTTATTTCAGGTCTCCCTGTGTTTAAATCTTTGTGGCTTAGGAATAATTAATTATTTTTACCCCCCTTCAGAGCAGTAGTAGTTGACCTTTAGGGCAGACAAGTGTATGAGTGTACTCCTTGGTCCAATTCCGTCAAGGAAGAAGGCTTTAATCATGTTGTATCTTGCTATCTTTTTCTCTACTGGTCAAGGAAGAAAGGATGGTTAGTGTTTGTATTATATGTGTTTTCTGTAGGTGTTGTCACACAGGATTTTTAAACATTTTCTGTGCAATTAATATAAAAGTTAACTTAAATTCTACTTTTGTAACATCCAAAATAACTGAATTTGCTATTAGAAAACTATATAGTAGGTTGACAGCTATTGTCCTTGAATACATTTACAGCTGGAGTGCAGTCTGGGGTGATATTTGAAGCCTAATATCTGGTATTTAAGATAAGGATTGGGTACAACATGGCTCGAATGCATAATTTTCCAGAACTACAGATGTCATCGCGTTCTCCATTGTCATGGAGCCCATTTTTCACATAATAATACTTATTATTTTTATTACAGTCCTACCAAAAAAACATTCTTAAGGAGAGACCTTCCCCTGAGTGTAGACACACTGCTGTTTTCTTTTGTTGGTGTGTTACAGATAGTTTCTGTAGTTTCACTGCCTAGCTTGATGTTGGCCATTTAGGTGATTCTTTTAAATTTAGGTTGCAGTATGAAGAGAAACTTACCTGAAATGTCATTTCCATTTAAGATAGAGATTCACATCTGTGCATCTTGCCTTTTGCATTGCCAGTTTTGAAAATTTTGCTTACTTGTGTTGCTTTGTGAATTTTAAAATATCATTAAAATTTAACTCAGTTACTGATCTTTCACTGCCACCGCTGTTTTCCCTTGACAGGGTAGTAGTGTCAGTCACTATCCAAAGCCCTCAGAAGAATAGTCGTGAAGTAGGGAAGTGAGGTGACGTTTCATACCAAGTTAAATGAATCAACAAGTGGAAACGTCCGGGGCACTGTGAGAAAACGGCCGCTTTGCCCCCAGACTCTCTGGTTTGGTGTGTGGCTGAGTGGGTGGTGTGGCTGTTGTCTGTGTGAGCGCGTAACGTCATTACCCTTGGGGAAACGTGTAGGCGCTCACCTAACCCTGCAATCCAGTTCTCTCACACATCTTGTTTATCGAATGTCTGTGTCTCATTGTAAATCGTTTCCAGTCCTAGTGAAAATGCTAGTATTGCTTTGCTTTACATCTTACGTAAATTCTCTCAGTAGAGAGTTGATTTGATTTTTAGAAGTGGATCTTAAATCATTTTCGTTTAATTATTCTTTGGAAGTACTAAGATTCAGTCTGGGGAGGGAAAAACCACACACAGCGAGTTTATTGCGTGTTGTGATTGATGGGTCACATCAGATTAGATCTGTTCTTTTGCTCGGATGTGGAGGCAGGAAAGGAAGAAAAACCACAGACATAACTATTTCCTAATGTAAATTTCCATTTTATCAGTTGGCTTTATGCTTTGATTAAAAGCATTTTGCTCCTTTTGTGTCTCTTTTGTGGCTATTTTTTTAATATCTTATATGCCTAATTCTCCTCAATTCTCGCCTGTAGTGTCTAAACAAGAGTGTATTACTAGTCACTCTTTGTTTGCAGGGGAAAGTATTAGTAAAGTATGATTTATTATTTATTTTTATTTTTTTAGACTGGAGCTCGCTTTTGTCAGAAGCATGTGTGCTAGTGCTTCTTGTCACAAGCTCGACAGAGCTGGGTGGCACTTTCACCCATTTGAGGATGGCTTCCCCCCAAAATCATACTCTTTCAATTAGTTGTTTTGGCATTGTAGGTTAGTGTATTCACTACTCTCCATATGGTCCCTGGTTGTGCTTGTATATCTTGTTTGTCTCCTCTTTGTCATTAGGCTTTATCTTCTGCTTTTGTGAACTTTTTATACTGGCATGTGTAAAGTTCAGGAGTCAGTTAAATGCTTTTAATTTTCTGCCTTCATAGGTGGTGGGGGCTAGTCGGGGTAGGGAGGGCCTGAACTTTTCACCACATCAAAGTTAGTCTTGGGAGTGATCCTGAGAGGTCATCTTCAAGTCAGGGTCAATTATACTTTCCCTTCCAGAAAGATACACAGATGAACTCATGCTTTCAAAGATTTCCCACGTGGGAAACTTAACAGCCTATTGATTAAATTTATTCTAATTCTTGCTCTTCTTGTGACAATTTGTTTTTTCTCTAATGTCTAATCTGAATCCTCTTTGCTAATTTGAGTCACTGTTGTTGTTATATCCTCTGTGGTCGTGATAGAGATTGCTACAAAATGGAGGAAAGAACAGCTTTCTTGTATATTTATACAGTGTTTTGCCCAGTCATTTATTTTCTTAAGCTGAATACTCTCAATTCTTTTCAACTTTCATCAGGGTTTTGAAGCAAGAGCAATAACAGAAAAGGTTGCACTCTCAGCCCTCTTGAGTTAGTCTACGTATCTTGACAAGAAACCCAAATTTGGGCATGGTTATCCAACAGATGTCTTTGAATAGAAGAATTTTTTAGTTAACTGCAGGCTGTACATAACATTTGTGCATATATAAAGTAGGATGTTTGCACTTTTAAGCAGGAAATTGAATCGCGTTTATCTTCTGACTCACAAAAGCCTCTTTTACAGAACTGCTGTCTAGCTGATTTTTCTTCATCCTGTAATGGTGCAGTTAATTACTTCTAGGCAGAGTAGCTTCCACTTGTCCCGATTGAATTGCCTTCTATTTTTTTCATGGAATTTTACAGCTTAAAATCTCCAGGGGTAGTGTAAATGCTGCTGGAGTGTTGTTTTGGGGAATTTCTCTGAAGGAGGTTTTTCAAGTGTTCTATATAAATATGCCCAGAACCTTTTTCCACAAACCAGCAGTGAGACAAAGAAGAATATATGTTTTTTGTGGGTAGGTTTCTGTTATATGATTTAGTTTTCTTAACTATTCCAGTGTATTCCAGTGTCCACTGTTCCACAGCCCATCCACATCCCTGGGCTGTGATCTCCTTTTGACAGTTGATGAACTCCAGGTTCCTACTAGAGTGTAGAAGATGTCGAGGTGTTGAATGTTTCACCATGGGCTCTGTCTGCACTGGCCTGGTCTCTGATGTGGCCTCTGATTTTTGCCAGTGAGACTTTCCTGCACTCATCACCATTTTACTGAAAGGAAGCTAGGGGTTTATTTGCATAGATTTGTGATTCATTTGTTCTGTTTGCGTAACCCATCAGATTCTTAGGTCCAAGGATTCAATCTCCAAGCAATTTAGTCATTTTAAATACAATTCAGAATTAAGTGATCGATGTTCTGGATGTTTTACCTATTAGCATCATACAATGATGTATGCAGATTATTCTCCTTTGTGATCACAGAGAAAATGAGTGTGATCTTACATATCTTCTTCTTGGAAGTGCAAAAGAAGCATTTATTGCCTTTGTCAGGGAGTGAAGTCTTCAGGTACACTAGCATCTATGGTGTTCCCTACCGGGATAGAATTAGAAAGAACAGACATACCAGTAATAATACAAAGGAAGGATGACAAATTAGCAGTGACTTTGCACAGATTTTTCCTGGCACTGCTTATCAGAAGCTACAGTATCTTCAAAAAAAATAAAGAAACATTTGTCACCAGAAGGTCACCTTCAGGTATTTGTGAGATGTATGGGCAAGGAGCTCTTGGGTAAACTTAATGAGAAAAAGAGCATGTACGTAATGTGGAAGAAGGGCCAGGCCACATGGGAGGAATATAGGAACATTGTCAGAGAATGCAAGGGTGCAATGAGGAAGGCCAGGCCCGTTTGGAATTAGAGTTAGCAAGAGATGTCAGAGGCAACAGGAAAGGCTTCTATAAATACATCAGCAGCAAGAGGAAGACTAGGGAAAATGTTAGTCTGCTGCTGAATGGGGAGGATGCCTTGGTGACAAAGGATGCAGAGAAGACAGACTTACCAAATGCCTTTTAACTGCTAAGGCCAGTCCCCATGTGCTGAGCCTGGAGACAAGAGAGAGAACCAAGAGAGAGGAGGACTTTCTGATGGTCAAGGAGGATTGGGTTAGGGATTATTTAGGCAAACTGGACACCCATAAAGCTATGGGCCCGCATGGGTTGCACCCAAGAGTGCTGAGGGAACTGGCAGGGGCCATTGCTCAGCCAGTCTCCATCATGTTCAAGAGGTCATGGAGAGTGGGGAAGGTGCCGGAGGACTGGAAGAAAGCCAGTGTCGCTCCAGTCTTCCAAAAGGACAAGAGGGAGGACCTGGGAAACTACAGGCTGGTCAGTCTCACCTCCGTCCCTGGAAAGGTGGTGGAGCAGCTCGTCCTAGTGACCATGTCTGAGTATGTCTCTAGGTGTGCGTAAGTGCTAGAGTCTGTCATGAGCCCAAGGATTATAACTCCTCCTTCCTCTCCTAGTATGGGGTAAAACAGGAAGGCAGATTTTTGGTTTGTTGCTGCTAACTACCAGTGTGCTCTGCCCTGCAGGAGCAAACTTCTCTTGAGTTCCCAATGATCTATTCCATTTTGTTAGGTGTGTTTCCTCCTTTTTCAGGCAGGAGGTTCTCAGTTTCAGATCATGGAGATTGTTATGATCTTTGAGCATTAGCCAAAACAGCAAACAAATGGAGGTTTGGCTTCCTACCAAATGTGGCTATCAAGATCTGTGTTTCCTAACATGTCCTTCTTTCTTTGTTCAAGAAAATTACTCCCTTGTGAGCTGTTTGATCTCAGTGGAACTCATTTAATAAGTATTATTTACTTTAGAAACCTTTTCCTTCTAACCTTTGGATCTACTGCTAGTGTACCTGGTGATTATGCTTCTGTTTTGGATTTTCATTAAATTTATCTTCTTGAGTTTGCCTCAGATCAGTTGAATAGCTTGCAAAGTACCTTAGTGGTGTGATGAAAGGACTTTCAATAATCAATTATCAGAAAAGTTACAGGAAACCTTCCCTAGGATTTTTTTTTCCATATATAAAAATAATATGGTAGAAGACTTTCTGTCTTTGGCAATCTGGATTATGTGAAGTGTCATAATCATTATGATTTAGGCTTTCTATTGGGATTTGTTTCATTAGTTACTTGAATTATCGCCACTTCCTATATATACTTATATATTTTTTTCCATTTTATGCCACTCACAACTGCAATTAGCTTTTTTTCTAGTTCTTGGATTTGCATTCATCGTGGAAAAAAAGGTAGTAACAAGGCAAAGTAACGGTTCATGTATAATCCAATCTCCTGCAGGTCTTGCATAGTTATTGCTTTAAGTGTGCTGCGCTTCGACTGGAAGGCTGTCTTGTGAGTTGTGTTTGACTATATGTGTCTGAACTTGCTTCTTCTGATGTCTGTTATGAATTTAGGTGGAGAACTTCATTTCCTTCAGATTGGAGGAACCTGTGATGACATAGATGAAGCTGATATACTTGTAGATGGATCCCTTTCCAAAGGTGTTGAACAGTCATCTGAAGGCACCAAGCCCTTATCTAACCCTTCTAGTCCTGGCATTACAGGTAAATTGTACATGTTTAAATGTATCTAACAGCTTTTTTATTGTTATTGTTTTTACTTCTAACTTTTGGAAGTTTTGGAAGTAAAAAAAAAAATTGAGTTATTTAATAATATTTGGAACTTTGTTGTATTTATAGCTGTAATTTGAGTTCTGTAGTTGTTCTGTGTTCATCACTTATTATGAATGAGCATCGTGTTTTATCAGTTTCTAAATCTCACAAAGCTTTTGTATATCTGACTGTTTTTCTAATCTCTGCATGTTACCGTAAGTCAGGCAAACGGGAAAAATATGTGATTTTGCAAGAGCTGAATATCTATCACAATTCAAATAGGCTCGAGCTCTGTATTTGCAATTAAAATTGTACGTTCAATATCTGAAATTGCCTTAAAGCTTCATGTGGAAGCTTTAGAGATCTGCTTCTTAAAACTAAACACATATGGTCAATAAGTGTTTTTGCGAAGAATGGAATTGATGCTGTCTATACTTTAAGAAGCCATGTTAATTTAAGCTTATAATAAGAACTCTTGGATTTTTTGATTATAGTAGTTTTATTTGACTTGAGCCTTGTTCACATTGTGCTGTTGCTTCCATGCCTGTTCTCCTGGGAGGTTGTCTGCCCTTGGATGGAAAGAAACAACTGCTTCTAGTTGTGTGATTTCCATTTTAAGCCGAAACATCTTATTTAGGTCTTTTCTGCCGTTCTTGTGTGCCAGTCTTGTTACCTCCTGCCTTTTTAAGACTCGTGGCTCCCTTGGGCAGAGTAAGGGGACAAGTCTCAGGGGGCCCTTCCTTGTGGGCAGTGAGGGGCTGCTCCGGCTTGCAGGGGAAAGCAGGGAGCGTTGGGAGAGCCTCTCTCCTCCTTTCTCTGTCCTCATCAAAGGTACTTTGTTTTCAGTGATTTGTCACTAAAAATTGCCAATGAACTTCATTTTGCTTATAAAGCCCGAGGGAAGATTTGAGTCATAATTATTTTAGCGGAGGCATATATGTAAGGAAAGAAGTCTGCAGTTTTCTTCTTTAGCTTATGGCAAATAAAGCATTAAAATCTCTGGAGAGGATCTGAATATCCAGAACATAGATTTTTTTTCAGTAGATGGGCTGTCTGCATGGCAGTTTATCAGCAGGTTGCAGCCTCATCCAGTCAGAGGGCTACTTTGACCTACCTGAAGGATCATCTTGGCTGTGTTGTAATTGTTCCGGAAGGAAATAAGGTAACCACACCAAGTCCTAAGTCTTGACTGGGTTAAAATCATTATTTCCTTTTGAGGAAAGGAGATTTTTAAATGCAAAACAGTGGTGTAAAAGGTGCTTTCTTTAGAAGCAGCATTAAAAATAATGCTGATTTTTCATAGCCACCTTAAAGCCTATTTTCACCTTTTCTAGTAGAACTTCAGTTTGTTGTTGCTTCCTATTACAACGTAACAAAAATCAGGTGGTTTTGCAAAAGAAGCTAAGCTGTTCTGACAGCACTGGAAAGTTCATTCATTTTTTTTGTGCAGTTTAAGGTATTGATGCCTCATGGCAGTTTGTTACTCTGAATGCTCTGAACTTTTTTTCTCTTTTTGGTGGGGTGGGGAGAATGAAGAGGAAAAAAAAAAACCTGCTGTTGAACTGTCACCTTGGATCTTATTGCAGTGTCACCTAGCTGGTGAGAATCACATTTGAAAGTGGGGGATAAAAAAAAAAACAAAAACAAAACAGGCATTTGTTCTGTGATTAAAAATTAAATTTCTCAGGCTGACACTTTGGCCTCCTAGATTGAAAAGTTGAAATCTGTGCTTGCAGTTAGAGTGGATTTTTCTCTCATCTTGCTGTTGTTCTGGTTTCAGTCTCTTATCCTAATTTCAAGCAGTATTGCTTCGTGTGGCAGTCTCTAGGTTCAGACTTAGCAGTTGCTTTGTTTTCTTCTTTTGTTGTTGTGCACATGTAACGTGTATTTTTTACTGAGGCAGTGACAGTAGCAGTTAGGCAGCCAACTTTTTGTGAAAAATCATAGTATTTCAAGAATGAAAAAAAAATTTCTCTGAAATGCATTTTTAAGAAAATCCAGAAAATTAACATTGTACGTATCTAATTTTTCCTAAAATTTCCTTTTTGTGTGTGTGTGTCTGAGGAAATCTGGTTGATTTTAGAGTTCCTTTGTAATCTGTGTTTGGCCATTTGTCTCCCTATTTTGATTTTCAACATTTTTTTTTGATTAATACCCATGAACTTTTTTCTCTGGGCTAGCACTTGAGTATGAGGACAAAGTATCTGAAGCGGTTTTGTAGGCTCGCTGTCTTTTAAGTGTGATATATATGACATGTTGTACTTTTTAAATTTCCTCTTATCCCTTTTTTAAGCTAAATTGGGAGCCTTGCAAAACATTCTAGTAATCCACCATGAAACAAGTCTACATGGATGTGCAGGTGATAATACAATGTTTACAACATCTTATAACGATTGGTTAAGTTGTATAGCAATAACATGCATTTGTTTTCTCGGAGTATAAAACTTTTAGATTTTCTTATATGAGTCAATGGATGTTTGAACAGAAATGTTTTAATCAGATTTATATCGTAGAAGTACAGATGACTATAGACTTCTTTTTCCTGATGACAACATACTTGAAGTTCTCAGTACTTGGAAAACTTGCTCCAGATGAGTTGTTTTCAAAGAATGCTGACTTCAAGGCTGTGTTTTTTTGTTTTATTTTGTTTTTCTCCTGTTTAATAAACTTCATAAAATGTGCAGTTTTACTTACAATTTGGATATGTTTCAGAAGGTTTGTAGGATGTTCTGGAAAAGAAGTCTATGTAGTAAATGTGTATGTTCTTCAACTATTCAGGAGTTGATCTGTTGGTGGACCAGCCGTTTTCCCTTGAAACGCTGACATCCCTGGTGGAACTAACCCGTTTTGAGACCTTAACTCCACGGTTTTCAGCCACTGTGCCCCCGTGTTGGGTGGAAGTCCAGCAAGAGCAGCAGCAGAGGCGGCATCCTCAGCATTTGCACCAGCAGCACCACGGGGACGCAGCTCAGCATACTCGCACTTGGAAGCTGCAGACAGACAGGTAAGTAGGTTATTGGTGCAAAATGGACTGTGTGCGCGTTGTTTGACCTGTCTGTGGAGCTGGCATGCTGATGATATCCATGTGCTTTAATTGTTTTCATCTCATGGGTAGGTTTAAGAATGTGTACTTGCAAAGATGCTAATTAGTATTAGCATTACTGTTCATGAGATTGACATGGCAGATCTTGAAACAAATTGGAAAAAACTGTTTTGAAGTTGTGTACTTTCACATGACAAACACTGTCATTTTCTTATATAACTGGAGAAATAAAGTCATGTATGAGATAATTACTTGAGTCAATTTGGAGCATGAGGTGTCCTAATGTTTAGACACTGTTCTCAGTGAAATGAGCTGCACTGGTACTATGTAAATGTAGCTTAGTTTTATACATTTGATGTAAGAGCTTGAAATTCTTTTGAGATCTTAGACTAAAACACAAGTGTTGCCATCTCCCTGAAGAATTACTTAAAACCAATGTGTGCAGTTTTGTGTAGTTTTCCTGAAAAGGCTTTGAAGAAACAAAGTATAGATACAAGTTGCGTAGGGTGTTTTGTTAGGGGAAATACGCAATAAGGTGCTCTATGTCTTTTGGATTGGGCCGTCCACCCATCCTGCTCATCCAAAAGCTCAGTGCAGGATCCTGACTGAAACCAAGAAGAGCAGTGCAGAATCTGAGTGTCCATTAGGCAAGCAACGAAATAGGCGAAGGATGCTCGGGAAGCTAGAAACCATATGCAAAAAGATGATGATGTTTAAACAAGTGGAAACTCCCTTGTGCGGGTGGGGTGGACCAGCCCTGAAACATTGCAGGTGGGAAAAGGAGTCTGGAAGCTGTGGGCATGCTGGCGTTGACCCTTAACCCGGGCCGAACTTGCCCGAACTCGAATACTCCAGCCGGGATAAAAGCTGGCAGTGCGTTATTGCTTTTAAAAGCAACCTGTATCTTGTGGTTTTGCGTCGCGTAAATAAAATACACTATGTGAGCCTAATGGGAAGGAGGTGGTGCCACACAAAGTAATCTCCAGGAGTAATTATTGATTATCTAGTGCGTTCAGTATCTATCCTGAATGGTGTGAGCAGAATGCTACTTAAAACTTCAGCAGGTTTGCTCCTTTGAACTTTCTTATTGTATGACCTTTGCAGGAGCGTCCAGAGATTAAAAAACGACAGCCACCAAGCCTCTCCCTCTTTTAAGTATTCTATGAAACAGAGAAAGGTCGTGATTGATTCTAATACAATTTTAGTCTTATTTGCTAACAGTTTTCCTTTGGAGTCGAGGATAAATTTTCGTTATGTTTTATGTCTTATTGCACTTTTAGCTGAAAATTATTCACTGTCTCTTCTTAAATTAAAACCATGAGGACATCTCTTGTCCCCATCTTTCAGTGCCTTCGTTCTGGAAAGAAGGTGCTGCACTTCAAAACTTCTATTGGATTGTATATAAATGTAGAGACTTAAGCAAAATCGTGTGGCTTATACATAAACCTAGATGGCCAAGTATGTGTGTGTGCGGGCTTTTGCATGTGTGTAAATATATGATACATATGCAATTTATTTTATATATATGTGGTTTATATACATGCACACATACTAAAACATTTATTGCTGTATGTGTGTGTATGTTTAAATAGGAGTACCTGCGTTCCAAAGTCTTTTCAAGCTTCTTGGATTGTAATTTTCCCTTTGTCTAGTAGTGTCTGCTACAACGTTAACTGTACTGCCCTTATAACATCTTGGTACCTTGCTGGTCCTGTTGCTGGACAGATTGCCATTTGTCATCGCTACAGCGAAGCTCCTGAACTCTTCCATCTTTATCAGAGAGTTATCTTTGCATCTAGGGCTGCCGAGGCAGAAACAGAGGCCATAAAATTGAAGTTGTTACTTTGTAAGAAGTTGAATGGAAAATGGCATAATTCTTAAGCTTCGCAGTTAATTCTAAACTTTCACAGTATGCAGGATGAGTTTGAATGACCAACCTTGTTTACTGCATCAGAAAAGAGCTGGATTAATTATCCAACATCTTAGCATTTCTCCACAGGCCTCCCCATGATTATTTAATGTAATGCATAGGAATGTGTTAGAAACATTTTCCTTCTCTGGAAGGAAATGCTTCTGTTTCAGTTTCAGATATCTTTCCAAAGAAGGTCTTACATACATTTCATGAGATTAGGGATAGAATTGAAAGGCAGGTAATTGCAATCCAAATAACTTTCAGATAAAATTTATTTTAGCAATATGTTCTCTACCATTTTGTTGTAGCAATTCCTTTTAAGTTCACTTTTTGGTTTTATGATATATTATTAAATAGGCAAAATTTAACAAAATTAAATAAGCAAGATAACCCATTTTAACTTTGCTATGCTAGAAAGTGATATTTAATAATATGTATGTGTATATGCACAGACAGGTAGGAGACACGAATATATGAGAAATGTGACACATGTTGCTTTTTAAAATGGAACACTATGTCCTTGTAAATAGATGACTTCTGAAAAGTCACTTCCATCTGTTGAACAAGTAGGCCTAATAGTTTGCTTATAGACAGGAGACATTAAGCCTTTTATATGCACCTAAAATCTGTCGTAAATGTTATGCATATGCCTGAGAGAGATATGACCTTTGAGAATATCACTGATATCACTGTAAGAATTAAATGCATTTGTGTCAAAGCTTAGTCTATTTAATTTTTTTCTGACAGTGCTTGGTGTGTACCCTTACTTGATTTAAAATACCATTCTGTGTTTTGGATGAGAGAAATATTTCTCTTTTTATCTTTTTTATCTATTAATTTCTCAGTATTTATGGCAGCATACTGAAATTCTTAATGTACTCGTTTTACATTTAAATAATCCCAAACTATCAAAGTTACCTCATTTTAAAAAATCTTGCTAGTAGATTGATAGGATCCAGAAGTGAGATTACTTTAAAAACATATTCCGGTGTGACTTGGCGCATGATTAGTTTTATTTGAATTGCTTTTTTTTTTTTTTTTCCCCTTGGGTTTGAACTATTTTTTGCAAACCTTAGAGTATCAAAATATGAAACCGATCACTGAGGAGTACTTATTATCTCAAGTTTACACTTTCAGTAAAAAAACACAGTTGGCTTCAAAAGGAAAATATGACTCATTAAAAGAAAGCTGCACCCATTTTGCTCAGCGCGGGCTTCTGAGTGTGCACCTGGTAAGAAGCACTTCTAATCCTGTATAAGTTATCAAATGTATTAAATTTTTTTTATTTGAAATTAATGTTTTGAGCCTCCTGGATGTGGCTGTTCTACTACTAGTGACTTTTTTTTTGACACTATCAGAGCAAAGGCCAACTAAAGAGATTGCAAAGCAATTGCTATGGTGCTTTTTATACAGTTCAATGATTGGAATATTCTTTTTTTATAGTGAACTTTTAAATTCACTTTTTCTAGAAAAGAAACCGTTTTTTAAAGTAATATGGAAGCAATACTGTAATGCAGGTAATAGGCAATCACGTGGGATTTTTCACCGTTGCTTGTATCCAAATGTTGTTTTGTCCTCTCTTATCAATTGGCTTTTAAAGTGTGCCTCACAAAATGAACATGATTACAGTTTAAAAGACTTTTACTTCAGAAATTCGTGTGGATGTCAACTAACACATTTTTTTTTCTTTTTTTATTAAAGAAAGTGTGCATAGATGAAGATTGCACTGGGTAGTGCTGCCTGCTTGTTCTGAATTTGCTCTTAACACTGTAACTTTGTTTTCTTTTTCCCTGACAGCAACAGCTGGGATGAGCATGTTTTTGAACTGGTTTTACCAAAAGCCTGTATGGTTGGACACGTGGACTTCAAATTTGTTTTGAATTCAAACATCACAAACATTCCCCAGATTCAAGTGACTTTACTGAAAAATAAAGCTCCAGGCTTAGGGAAAGTCAATGGTAAGAAAAGACTGCAGATATCCTTGAGGACTTTTTTTTCTTAAACTCATTATTCTCTGTGGTGTCTATTAGAACTGATTGAAATTATTTAAATATTTTTAGTTTGCATTTACTTCTGTTTGTTCTTGTATTTTTCAGCATCATGTTCTGTTTTCACTTAACACATTTGAGGGTAATTTGGGGAAACAAACTGGATAAACAGTTTCAAATTCATGAATTTTTTGGACTGTGAAGTGGATTGAGGACTGACTGGATGGCAGAGCCCAGAGGGTGGTGATAAATGGGGCTGAGTCTGGTTGGAGGCCTGTGGTGTCCCGCAAGGGTCAGTACTGGGCCTGATGCTCTTCGACTTGTTCAGCAATGACTGGATGAGGGCACAGAGGGCACCCTCAGCAAGTTTGCAGATGACACCAAACTGGGAGGAGTGGCCAACACTCCCAGCGGCTGTGCTGCCATTCAGAGAGACCTCAACAGAATGGAGAGTTGGGCAGAGAGGAACCTCATGAGGTTCAACAAGGACAAGCGCAGGGTCCTGCACCTGGGGAGGAATAACCCCAGGCACTAGTACAGCTTAGGGGTTGACCTGCTGGAAAGCAGCTCTGTGGGGAGCGATTTGGGAGCTCTGGTTGATAACAAGATCCTGCCCCTCTCCTCAGCTCTGGTGAGGCCGCACCTGGAGTATTGGATGCAGTTCTGGGCTCTCCAGTGCAAGAGGGACGTGGAGCTTCTAGAGAGGGTCCAGCAGAGAGCCACGAAGATGATTAAGGGACTGGAGCATTTGTAATATGAGGAAAAACTAAGCGAGCTGGGCCTGTTTAGTCTGGAGAAGGCTGAAAGGAGATTTGATCAACATGTTCAAGTACCTGAGGGGTGATTGTAGGGAGGATGAGGCCGGGCTCTTCTCCATGGTGGCCAGTGACAGGACGAGGGGTAACGGGTGCAAGTTGAAACATAGGAAGTTCCACCTCCTTATGAGGAAGAACTTCTTCACTGTGGGGGTGACAGAGCCCTGGCACAGGCTGCCCAAAGAGGTTGTGGAATCTCCTTCTCTGGAGATCTTCCAAACCTGCCTGGATGGCACCCTGTGCCACATGCTCTAGGTGTCCCTGCTGGAGCAGGGGGGTTGGACTAGCTGATCTCTAGAGGTGCCTTCCAACCTCAACCATTCTGTGATTCTGTAAATTTTATACAAACCAGAAACCTTTGACATTTTCATAGAACTTCTCCTTCCCACACTGCAATATTCCCCAATATTAGCAAGAGAAAAAGTGTGCTGGAACTATTTTCTTTAAAGCAATATTATAAATTGGTGTTTGTCCACAGAAAAAAAGAAAGTAGCATAGTGGAGTATTTTCTCCAGTATTTCTTAGAGGAAGTGTGCTCTCCTAGGATGCAGGACTTAACAGCTTTAGTAGAAGTGCTAGCTGTGACTGCAGGACAGTGGTCAATAGATGTTCTTGCAGTTTCCTCCTGTGTGTAATATTTGAAGTAAATAGGAACTTTAACACATAGGAGCAGTTTGTCTTCTTAAAGCAAAAAGTAGGATGATTAATCCTTGTTCTTCTGAACAGACTCTGCTTTGCGTTCAGCATTAACTTAACATGCATTCTGTTCAATAAATACGTTTGATCCTGGATCTGCAGATGTTGAAATTAATGTGAAAGTCTTTGACGGTGAGACAAAACAGAAGAACTGCTCAACTCTTTTCCTTAATGTTTCACCTAGTGCTGAGAGTGAAATTTCTGTGATTTGCTAATGTTTTGAAGATAGTTGATTTGGCTGTGAAATACTTGGTTAGAGCTTTCTGCAGGTGTTTCAAGCACAGTGTACTGATTATCAGACCTGACAGCTCTTCCCGAGGCAACATTTCAGTTCATTACTTGAACTGTAAATGTAAGTTTGGTAAATGTAAGTCCTTTCTTCCCAAGGTAGTGGATAGGGTGGAGAAAGCCTGGAGATGAGGGGTATGCATGGGCACTTGCCGTGACGTTTCCCTTTTCTCCATGCCCTACTGAGGGAATGTAATAGGGCTAAGCATGTCCAAATAAGCCAGGGCAAAACTATTTAACTTAGGTCTGTGCCTGGATGTTAACCAAAATGCCCAGACCCCAGGAAAAAGCAATATTCAGGGTTGTTTGGTGATTCTTGAACATATATGAAATCTTCAGTGAGAGGTTCAGTCAGCTTTCTTTCCTCTCCTTCCATATGGGAGGAGTGAAACAAAGTGAAATCTTAATTTAGTGAAACCTAAACATGACCAGTAGGGAGAATTTGTTCTGTCATCATTTGTATGAGAAGAGGCCTGGGACTCGTTAAATGTGTGGTACGTAATAAGGAGAAGGCCCGAGGCATAACTCTTTTAGTTTAGAACTTTTTGATCTGCCATTAATTCATTCTGTGTGCCTCTTGTTCATTGCCTGCATGTCCTCTTCATCTGTGATTCATGAGAATCGTTTAAATGAAAAAAGGAGCTGTACTTAGCTATTATCAAAATATTGTCTGATACTTAGCATCAACACTTCAATTATTTTTTGTTTAAAATATCAAACTTTTAATACTAGAATTTAATTACTTAAGAGTGATTATTAGGAGAAGCTACTTGGGCAACATATAAATAAAGCAAGCTGTTTGCAGGTTACCTTTAGACTTTTTTTTTTTCTTTTGGTAACTATTTGCTGCAACTTCAATTGCAGACTTCATGAAACAGGTCTTTGCAGATATGTGGCTTTTATAGTGGAAATAGTGTTTTCAAGAGCATTGTGCAGAGAGCTGATAAATTTGCTGTGAAAACTACTGCTTCTGTTTTTCATGAAACTCGAGCAATGTTTATGAAATTTTTGCTAATATTTTTATTCTCCAGAAGCAGCAGTAGATAGACAGATCACGTTTCCTTTATCTCCAGCTCATAATATTGAAATGGAGAGAAATGGAAAGCCAGCACTGGTTGAATTCAGTGAAGAAATGCAGTATATGGATATAGAGGAACCACAATGTAAGTTTAATTTATCTGGTTATACCACTTATTTTTAAATATGAATTTGCATTTTTGATTTATTTTTTTAATTACAAAGTGGAATCTCTGTGTAAATATTTCTCAGTCATTTAAAAGAGACTCTTTTCTCAACCCTATTCAGTGTGCTGCTCCTGTCAGTGGTCTGCTTAGTGTATGAGTTGAAAGCAAATAATTTTTTTGGTGTTTATAAATAGATAGTATTTTTTTTAGAATTTGGAAATAGAGTAGACTGGTATAGCACCTTTCAAATTTAAAGTTGTATTCTCTCATTCCAGCAGCATTTTGCTTGTTTTTCCATAGCTAGTTATGATATTTTTCTTTGCCTCCCTGTCTTTTTCTCAGGCTACAGCAGCAATCTCTACAAAATAATGAACATCCAATAAAGCCTTCATAACCTGTCATGTTAACCTACAGCAATGTCAGACTTCCTGTATGGTTTTTTTATAACATCTTTTAGTACCCCATCACTGTTCCTCAAAATCTGGTAAAGAGACTTTGAAAGGCAATCAAATTGGATCTGTGAACATAGCTACAGGCTGTAAATGAATTCCATAAAATAATATTGTTTTGCTTGGCCTTTTAGCAGTCCTGGTTTTGCACTGTCTTTTGTTCGATCAGGTTTATCTAAATAAATGTGTTGCAAAGGGTGTAGGAAGGGAGGAATCAAAGGGGAGGTAAAAGAAAAAGCACTGGAGGGAGAAGATTTTGCCCACTGAGGAAGAGGCAGAGAGTCAAATTTCAGTATAGCACAGGTGTCTTCTTTTTAATGTTTAGCCCTCATTGTTACTGTTTTGGCATTTTTTTTTCTTCTGCTGGCATGTTTTAAAAAATTATTATATCAAGTTCTTCTACACTTTTTTATTATTATTATTTTTTTAATTCTGTGCTACTGAGACTACCATTTCATGTTTTTGGTCTTGCTTGTGTCTGATGTTTGTTTTTTTGGGGGTTACTTCAGGCTTTTGCTTCTCTTACCTACCTTTTCTCACTCTTGTCCTCCTGCTCTTTGCTCACTTACCTTACTCTCCTAGGAATGTTAGTAGTGAGAATTAATCACTCTGACTTACCTGTTTGCAGTCAGCAGTCTTGCTCTGCTCTTGCTCTTGCCTGTTGTCTTTTATCTTATAGAATGATCTCACTCCTTTCTGCTAATTATATTGATGTCTTCATGTAAAGATCCATCGAGATTCAAAGCATGCTTTTCCACCAAAAATTGTTTTAATAATAATAATTAAAAAACACAAAAAAATATGAGTTCTTGGATATAATTCTGTTTAGAAATGTTGTAGTGAAAAAATAGAAATGGTCAGCTAAATAATAAATATGTAAGTTTTCAAAGAAACAATAACAGTTTAAGTTGATTTATCATGTTCCAGGCACATGTGACATTCTGCACTGAAAACATGGAATGAATTTAGTGAATTTGGTCTGTTAATTACTTTAAAAACTTGATCTCTTCCACGGTAATTTTCAGGTCATTGGCATTTCAACTCTTGCTAATGAAATCAAATAAAAGCTTGCTTCAGAACCAATGTAGCTCAAAATATATTTGTTTATCATTTTATTAGCTGTAAATTTTTGTGACTCTAATGAGCTGTTCAGCATACATGCTATTGCACCCTATCCATATTATATAATGGAAAATGCTTTGAAAGTAGTGAATTACTTTTACACTGAAAAATGCATCAAAAGTAAACCTAAAATAACAGTGAGATTTAGGGTGTAGTTACTGATTGACGTGGTGTATTTTTCAACTTTGGTGTTTGACATGATGTATTTTTCACCTTTGCAAATGATATAATTTTGTGACTTTGAGATAATTCAGTTCTATTTTACTGTGGTTTTTGCTTTTTTTAAAGGTCTTAGGTTGTGTCCATTTCTAGAGGAGCATAAAGAAGATATACTTTGTGGACCAGTATGGCTGGCAACTGGACTTGATCTCTCAGGACATGCAGGAATGTTGACGCTAACAAGTCCAAAGCTTGTTAAAGGTAAAGCAGTTTATGTCAGGTGAAGTATACGAGACTTGAGCGTACCTCATATTTCTGTGGGCAGCCATTGGTTTGCATTTATTTTCATGTTGGCACATTTTGTTGCATGAGATAACGTTTCAAACCCATGCTAAAATACTATAAGAATGTATTTGAATTCTGCTTGTAAATTATATGTGCAAACTTAAAATATGCTTCAGCTTTGACCTAGTAAATTTAACAGGTTCTTCCCTATCTTTTTTTTTCTCCCTGCGCCCCCCCTCTTTTTTTCTCTTTCAAGGCATGGCTGGTGGCAAGTACCGTTCCTTCCTAATTCATGTTAAGGCAGTGAATGACAGAGGAACAGAAGAAATCTGCAATGGTGGAATGAGGCCAGTGGTTAGAATACCATCACTAAAACCTCAGAGTAACAAGGGCCATTCACTTGCGTCGTTGTTGGCAAAAGTTGCAGCAGGCAAGGTACTGAGTAGCCAAGAAAGACAATTGCGTGAAAGGTGCAGAACTGATGTATCTGAACCGAAAACAAAACAATTGTTCAGAGATTTAAAATTCTTTATATTAGTGTTTTGGTGTTTTTTTTCTCTTTTTAAGCGTTGACACTGTGTTAATACCCTCAAGAATCAACATCTTTAAGCTGTTTCTCCTGTGGAACTGTAGTTGAAAAGGTGTTTTCTCCCACTTTCATAGTCCGAGCATTTGTTTTTGAAATTTCCATGACTGTGTCCAGTAGCTGCTATAAATCCTAATAAGAGGAGTGTGTGTAGATGTACACGTGTGTGTATACGTACACATACGTATATACCCATATATATATACACATATACACTATACATATTTAGTACTTTTGATCATTGTAGTTGAGTGAATGATGGATGTCTTATGGAAATTATTAGAATTGTTAGAAAATAAGTTGCAGAACATTGTTGAATTCAGTATTCTTTTATTAAAACAAAGTAGTCCATTTTATAAGATTCTAAGTCTATCTTCTCTGATGCTCTAAGATATAATTTTTAAGCTTAATTTTTTGACCTTTTGCTCTATTTTGTTGCTAGCAAACAGTCAATACCACTGTGCTCAGAGTGAGAGATTTTATTGAATCGTATGCACTTCTGCCTTAAAAAGGTGTAAAAGTAACTCAGTCAAAAATGCCATGATTCCTAAAATCCAATCTCTCCCTAAACATCAGGAAAAGCCATCCAGTAAAATTGAAGCCAGTAATTCTTCAAGAAAATCAGATAATCTTAGAGGCTGTGACTTACTTCAAGAAGTCTCCGTGACTATTAGAAGATTTAAAAAAACTTCTATTTCAAAGGAAAGGTTAGTAGGTGTCTTCTAGTTCTCTACTCATAAAATACTTCACAACAAACCACTGTCTCAGATAGTCATTTCATAAGTTCAGTTTATATGGAAAAATGTGTGAGGTTAGTTCTAGTGCACTGCGCTGTGCAAGTTGTGTTAGAATAACAGATGGTTGATCGTTCATTTAGGAAACTGTATGCAGAATGATGTATTTACCTGACTTTAAAAAGAGTAAGCAAGTAATGCAAGTAACACCAATTTTCTTTTAAAATAGATAAATGATTTAGCCTTTTAAATTTTATTTTCAGGAAAGTCTTATGTTTTATTTCCACATGTGCCGTAAAAAATAAGCCAACAGGAAGTACAATACTTAAAATCAGATCCAATTAGCAAATTGTTACTCATAGAGCTAGTTAAAAGTCACTGTGGATTGGTACTGCAGGCCTAAACAGTAATAATAGTGTTCAATCAGTATTGCCAACTGTCATGCAAACGGGTGTCGCTGACTGTAATGGTTTTAAGAGGGTCAGAGAGGCAGCAAGGACAGGAAATAAAAAAAATGGTGACAGACTTCAGTTACTCTATATTGTTTGGAGAAATGTCTCATTAAGGCATAAAACAGCCGGTATTTTTGGACACAGCTGATGACACTTTCATGGAGAAGATGCTTAATGAACTTTAAAGAGGAGATGCATCCCATGACATTGTCCTGAATGGCTTGGAGGCTCTGGTTCAAAGGATCTAATCCTTTGGTAATAGCAGCTCCAGTGTGCTTGGAGGAACACTGGTGGTGCAGCAAGGGTCAAAAAATCCTCCACAGTGATGGCTATTACACAAAAGGGGTACTACATAAATTGAGCAAGTCTGTTGAAAAGGAACTGTTAGGTGCACCTAAGAAAATGAAGTCCTTACAGACCTAAGACTGCTGAGGAATGTTGAAAACATAAAGCCTGCTTATTTTGAAAGGGTTATTAGAAAAGCCATCCTTCTTCCTTTTGTCTTAAAATTATAAATTTATTTGCAAAAATAAAGTTATTCTTCTAAATGTTAAGGTCCTACAGCGAAGAACACAAATGGGATCAAGAATTCTGGCAGTATATATGTTTAAAAAAAATCAAGCCAAAAAAAACAGGTAAAAGAGGTTAAGGAATGAGAAGCAAGCAAAACTAAGATCTTTTAGTAATTATTAGGAGCAGGAAGATCATTACTTGGCCTGCAAAGCCAGTTTATGAGTGAGATATGGAAGGATCATTTAGAAAGCTAAATGAAGTCTCTGCATCAGTGTTCATGGAAGAAACAATGGAAATTCCCATGCTGAGATCCTGCGTGGGGCACGCTTTAAAAGATTGTAAGAAAGGTGAAGTAATTGTGGAAGAAGTTAGGGAAGAAATTGGCAAGGTGAGCGGTGGTGGTGCTCAGGACCAGTTTGTATTCACCCAAGAGGTCCAAGAGCCATCCAAGATGAAGTAGCTGTATGACTAATGGTAGTGGAACCTCTTGCTTTGGGAATGTCTTGGTATCTGAGGACAGGAGTACAGTTCTTAAAAATGGTTCCAGGTAACTGCATACTGGTAAGCCTGTTGACATTACTGTTTCTCCTGTGTAAAATTATGATTAAAAAATAAAATTAGCGGACAAGTGAAAAATACAAGAAGAATTGATATGGCCTCTGTAAAGGAAAATCTAGTGTTCCAAACCACTAGATGAACCAAGTGTTTGACAGAATCCCTCTCCAAAGGCTTTTTGGAAAATCGGAGAACAGTGAAACAAGAGAAGAGGTCTTGCATGAAATAGCAACAAATCCCTTAGTGCTGTAGGAAGCAGATCCGTGCAAACGGTTGCCAGAATGCTGTAGATGCTGAAAATTTGCAAAAGTTTAGAAATTACTGGACAAGTTAACAAGAGAAAAAACAATTCATGGACTGTTGCTAGGTATACAGTAACCTCAGCCAAAAATAGCTGATGATGGGGACTGTGCAGGGATGTGCCTGTGCTAGTTTTGTTCCTGTCTAGGCATCTTTTGTTGGCTATTTTTTAGACAAAGAGCTAGAGCGACGCTTTAGTGGGAGAGTGGCCATATTGGATAATTTTCTTTCTGAATTTTTTCCCCTCTTCCATAGAGTTCAGCGGTGTGCCATGTTGCAGTTCTCAGAGTTCCACGAGAAGCTGCTCACTACTCTTTGCAAAAAGACAGATGATGGTCTGACCACAGAACATGCCCAGAGTCTTGTGTTAGACACACTTTGTTGGCTGGCAGGAGTGTATTCAAATGGACCTGGCAGGTAAAAAAAAAAAAAAAAAATCTTGTTAAGTAAATATAGTTATTACTCAGGTAATATGTACTCAGTATCAGGTCTGTTTTAAAAATCAGTCAGTAAAGGTTTATATGATTGTCTAAACCATACTAACTTGTTTTTACAGCTCAAAGGAAGGCAATGACAGCTTGCTTTCTAAAACACGTAAATGTGTCTCTGATATTATTCGTGTTTGCTTCTTTGAGGCTGGGCGGAGCATAGCTCACAAATGCGCACGTTTTCTTGCACTATGTATCAGGTCAGTGTTTTTTTTATTATTATTACTCATTTATGCATTTGTTTTGTGCAAACATTTATTTGGGGTTTTTGTATGCTGTCAGAATTGTGTATTTTTGTTGTTGTTTCTGATTAGCACAAAAGAATAAAAGCAATGGGACACAACTTCTCTTGAGAAAAGTCATAGGATATCATTGCAAAGAACTTACCTTCTGTTGGAATTTCACTCTTACATGTTTAAATGTTAATCTGCTTCTTTGTAGCAATGGCAGGTGTGACCCAAGTCAGCAGGGATTTGGATCTGTTCTTCTAAAAGCTTTACTTGACAATATGCCTCTCTTACCTGCTGCTGCAACGGGTGGTATGTATACATTTCTTGCTGCCATATAAATATGACAACATTTCTTACTCTTCATGTTTTGTTGTTCCTTTTTATGGAACATCAGTTACATAATTGTTCAAGAACTACTTGATGGAGTAGTCTGGTTTAAATGGTATAAAGTATGAGTTATGTAAATGGAAGAATTTTAAGAAAATTAACCTAATACATTGCTCAAATAGTCATTTTTTGGGAGGGCTTATATAGCTTAGCAGGGTTCCTAAACCATGGCTTCTGTTGACCTCAGTGATAGTTAAGGACTGCATTATTTATGAAAATCAAATTATTTATTCCAAGGAGTCTGGCTAAGTCTGGATGTCTAACTCTGGCAATCCACATGTGTTACTTCTGTACCAAAAGGGAATTTTTAACAAAATTGAAAGCTTTTCTCATTTTAATTAGACAGTAACAGTCTCCTTAGCATCTTGTTGAAGACTCTTTAATGGCAGCTAGAATAGGAGAAAGATTGTGCTTTGGGTACAGAGGCCTGCTTTTTATTTTTCATATTATGATGATGTTGGATCTGCAGGTGGTGTTGCAGGAAAATCACTTTGCACACCAAAATGCATGTTGGAGCTACTATGATCCAGAGCCAGTTTGTGTGTAAACCTTTAACATGCTGAGGCTCAGAGGTGAGGGTGGGAATGCACAGAGGGTAGACAGTGTCTGCTACAACTATGGAATAAGGACAGAGCTGTACAGAAGCATACTGGACAAGGGAGAAGAGTTCCATCTAAAGTGGGGCTTGGCTCTGAAGGGATTGGAACCCCTGAACTCTCATCTTAGTGAGTCATGACCATTTAGATTATTGTATTTAGTGGAACCTGGGGGAGCAATTAAGATGTAATGAAATAGGTGTGATTTTTTTTGCTGGTAACCTTCTTCAACTATGAATATAATGAGCTTCTATACGAGTTTGGAGTACATGTAGAGCCTAATAATTACAGAATGATTCTTAGATAAAGCCTCTTTCACAAAAATAAATAAATAAATAAATAAAAGGGGCGGGGCATCTTTTTAGTAACTGTAAGATTCACTAATACAGTAACCAGTTAGTTACTTTATCACTTGCCATGATTCTGCTTTGCGGTTTTCTTTGAGTAGAATTTTCACATCATGTCTCACCTGAAATTAAATTCTCTTTTAATACAGGATCTGTCTACTGGTATTTTGTATTGCTGAATTACGTAAAGGATGAAGATCTGGCAGGGTGTAGCACAGCCTGTGCATCCTTGCTAACAGCTGTGTCCCGACAGCTACAGGATCGGCTCACACCCATGGAAGCATTACTTCAAACAAGGTACTGAGAAATGTGGTTGTTGTAGAGCTTCATAGAAGGAAATACCTACTTGCCTATGGTACTTCAAATGGAATTAGGTTCTTGAGAAATACAAATTTGTTCGTGTCATATTTGGATATGCTCCATGTAGAAATTCTGATTCTGCCTAATGCCACCTTCTGGTGTTCTTTGTTTATTTGCTTTTTGCTTGTTGTTTGTTTGTTTTTAAGATGTGTCTTGCCGTATTTCTTTGAGCAAGGATTAATTTGGAACAGCTCAGGAGAATAGTTATGACGAGTGCGAAGGTAGAGGAGAGAGTAAAATTGTTTGTAACTCACAGTGCACTTTAAATTAGCAAACATGTACATAATGTTTGAAGTGTGCAGAATACCTAAGTTGTTGTTTAAGAGTTGGTTTAAGGATTTAAAACGAAATATCCTATTTTGAGTACGTAAGGGGAATAAAGTATATTGAAATAGATATTTTTGTAGTTTGTCTGCAAGCAGATTATACATTTAAACTGTTGCTGCCAAATGTTAAATTCCAAATGTAGATACTTAGAATAATTTGCTGGAATGCCTGTTCTTACTATAAATTGTTTAGCAATGTAGTTTCAGGTTATGTTGTTGCTTCTCTTGTGTCAGACTGACAGGTGATGTTAACTTCGAATTTCCACAATTCCGAAAGGAGATCTTGGGTAATTTTTGTAAGTTTTGTAGCAGTTCTCAAAGCCGCGTTATAATGAAGGGAACACGCTGCTTCACACAGTCCTTTGAGGTTGTGATTTATGGTCATGTATTTTCCTAGGAATCAGTTAATACAAATTCTTCACATAAAATTTTAAATTTGAAGTTAGTCAGCTGAGGGTTGTTTTTTTTTGTTATTGTTGAAGCGATATAATTATGTAATACCTGATAAAATGTGGTCCTTCGTGTCATGCTTAAGATTCTGACTGTGTGTGTCCCTACCACAGTCCTCGTATCCGTTGTGTTTTTGCTTCAATGTCTCTAAATCCTCCAGCTGTTTTGAAAGTCTTAGGTCAGCAGCAGAAACGGTGAATCGCAATTGGAAAACTTTTTCAGATACATAAACCAGAAAATGGAAAGTTTGTGTTTCCATGTTGTACAAAAGAAAAAAGTCATGTACAAACAGGGAGGGGGAAGAGGTTGCACTTGAAATTCCACTTTAATTCCACTTGAAATAAGAGATTGGCACCTTTATGGAACTTACTGGAAAAACTGATCTATTCCTACATGTAGATTGTTTCTAATTACCTACCTTAAACAACACATCAGAAACACAAGCTTTTTCTTTCCAGCTGCCTTACTATAGGTTGTCATGTGTAAGTTCAGGTTGCTTAGTGGTGAACACAGCTGTCTGCAACTCAAGGGAAGATTTCTGAAATGAGGCCCTGTTCTTGGCATTCTTCACATAGAGCTTTTTCTGGATGTTTCTAGTTGACATTTTGCTCATTTGTTCTGGTAGATAAATGTTCAACATGCTTCATTTTTTAACTCAGTATACGTGTGGTTGCGATAAACAAAGAATAGTAGTAGACCCACCTGTCTAATTCCGTATTTGACTGCTACAGTTCTTTCTTTTGCAAGGGCTATTTCTTGGTGTAATCTGCTAATTTAGAGAAAATGTAGGCATCTTTCTTCTATAAAACTATGGATCAAGAGAGTATCATCAATTCACAAGTTTTTTTCTTTTTATGGGAGATAAGCGTTAACATATTATTTTAAAATAGAAATTAGTAAGCAGTCATTAGTTCAATCCCCTCCTTCCCCGCCTTTCCTCCCAGAGTTTTATTTTATCGCATTTGTATTGCAGAACACGTACATTTTCTTCTTCTTTATCAACATTCCTAGGTACGAAAGCCTAACATCTGGTAATTGCATAAAAACACATGCCTATTTAAAGGATCCATAGGCTTATGTTTTCTTAAGGCAAAGTAGTTCTCATCTTACTGACATACGCTACAATGAAGTAGCAAATACTTGCAAAAATGTCAAATGGATGTATAGAATACAAATGGATGTATATAGCTTGTAGTATAGAAAATAATAAAAAGATCTTGGATGATATTCCTCTTACAAGAAAGCAGATTTGTTTGTCTCTGTCAACCTGACAGGTATTTCTCCAGCCTGTTCCTAAAAGCACCCAGTAAGGCAATGCTGTAGTTGTAGTTTACAGTAAGTAGAATACCTATCACATGTCCCTCTTACCATTAACACTTCAGTACTCTCCTACTCCTAACATCTGATCTGAAGTCTCTGTAGCTGCAGCTGAAGCCTGTTAATGCTCGTCCTGTTCATGCTGGCCCAGGAAGATAATCATTCTCTCTATTTATTCTTTCTAGCTTTCTTTCTGGTCCTTCTTTGAAAATTTTGGTTGTCTAGAGGGTGTTTGCATTTTGATTGCATACTTAGGTCTGTAGCTGTTTTTAGAGCATTTCCTTGAGCTGTTTTCTTTGGCCCTTGTCTTTCTTGAGCTGTGGAGCACGCGACTAAGCACAGTGCCCGCTGAGACTGGTGCTGAGGGGAGCAGGAGAGGCCTTTCACGTGCCTTGTGGCAGGATGGTTGGGGGCAGTGTGTATGGGACACTGCTGATTGATGCTTTAGTTTTTGTTAATTCAGCATTTGTGTCCCTTTCTAGAGAGTGCTGCTAATGCAGCTTAAAATTGTCATCCTGATTGTTGCTGATGAAGAATCTGTACAAGACATTATGCTTATTGAATTAAATCTATTTTGGACAACATGTGTCTAATTTGCTGTGACACGTTTTAATTTCGATCCCATTTTGCAAGTGCTTGTAACCCCTTTTTATTTTGTTATACCTGCTACTTAAGAAATCAGGATTGCTAGTATTTTTATTAGGCAAGTA